AAACATAGGTGTTCTATAAGTTTATATGCACCATTAAAACTTACAAGTATCTAAATTCAAAAGGATGTACACTGTTACTTTTGAATAAAAAATAAATAAGAATCTCTGTAATTAATGTCACCTGTACGTCATTTTAAAAAAAGAAGGAGGTTACGTTCCTCATAGTTATAGTAAAATACACGAATAAAAAATCGCTTTCAAAGATTAGCTCAAACCCTTTATATTTCAGACCTAATAGAGCAACACTAATCTGACTAAATTTATTCTTTTTATTTTTTATACACACACTAACGCCAGTAGTCCCAACGGTGCAGAAGGTCTTGGTGTCTATCTATATGGATACAAACACACATATTGTAACAACTATAATTTGGTCCCACTTAAAAAGAGATAAGCATATTGCCGCCATCAAGACACTTTGGGAATGAAGGAAGAAAAATTAAAAATATATTGGAAGAAGAAACAGACAGAAAGGAGGAGAAGGAATCGGAAATACTTAATGCTTATACGATAAGAGGTGTGTAGTAATACCTTGAGAGCTTTAGGATCATACGTGTTACAAGAACGAAGTATTGTTGGGTTCAATAACTTAATTATTACTTCAATGTTTAAACTTAAACATCAATATTTATGTTATTCGATATTTTTCATCATCATTCTATTGAATACTACTAATCGTAGGTATCATGACAAATCATTACATAATATCAAATAAAGTCCACCGCCGCATCTGTTTGTCTTTCTGTGTGTTTGAACACGAAATTCCTAAAGTTGCAATCATCATAAACAGCCTCTAATAGTCCACTGATGGACAAAAGCCTCTCCTTAGAAAGGAAGTTTTGGCCTACTATACCTCGCTGGCCAGACGGGTTGGAATAGGGTTTGGGGTGCTAGGCTAGAAAACCTCCCCGTGGTGCACCCTGGAAACGCTGGCGATGGTACTGTTTCCTCCTTGTCCTCTTGGAGGAGAGGATTATCGCCAGCGGCCAATATTCTAGCAGAAGAGGTAGCCGTTCATCGGCTCTCGGGCAAGGCCTGGTCCAGCAGGGTGGGCGTGTCTGCCGGTTGCCCTGCTGGCTCTTCGCTCTTCGGAGCATGGAGGAGGAAACCTCGGTAAAAAACCTGATGGCGGGGCCCTGTAGGGGCCACAGTTTCTCCGCTGATAGCGGTGGAGAAAGGAGGACGGGCTCGGCGTGTACTGACACTACCACCGAGCAGGCAGGGGGACGTAGTCTCCCTGTCAACCGTCGGCATATCGCAATCCCGAGAAGAGCGCTGTGGTTAAGTCTCGCGGCTCTGATCGGGGGCGAGGGTCTTGGCTTAACCGCCCGGACCGCGAGGAAGATAACCTCTCTAAAAAATTCCCCGAATCCCGTGTTCTGGTGCGTGGCCAGGGGATGCATGGCTGATGGGAAGTTCAGTCGCGAGCGCACTCCAAGCCGAGGTACCTGCGGACCCCTCGGTTGGGTTAAAAACTTACGCTTGCCCGGGTAATGGGGGATCTCTGCCCGAGTGGACCTTTAGTTCTCCCCCACTCGTGGGATTATTATGGAAAATATTAATTTAACTAAAAAGAAAACGATCGGAAAGAAAAACACACAACAGACAAAGGCAAGCCTAACGGACAATGAGACGAAGAGGAGGAACAGTGGAGTGGATGGGTCGTCCACTGAGGGTGAGGTGGCGTCGGGAACGCCTATCTCGATGGGGCTCCCAGAGGTCAGTCTGACTCTGGTCTCTGGGAGCCGAAGAGCATCGGATCGTATTCGTTCCGGATCCGCCGTCTCCTCGGATGGCGCGGAGGCCATGGAGGCGGAACGAAGCGACAGCAGGAAACGCGGACGCTCCAGGGAGGAGGGGACCGACACGTCCGGCGAAATGATGCCACCAAAGGTGAAAACTGAAAAACCTTTTTTGTTTTGTCCATCATCGTCATCAGTTTTATATTACAGCAGTTGATATCTCTATTTTTGGGGCCTCTCAATCACAGGGCGGACATACAGGTCCCCGGTCTAGCTGGCAACGAAAAGGAATTAGCCGAAACCTATTTCAATGTGACAGATTGCACTGATGCCTACAAGAATCGGGAGCTAGTCAACAAGATGATATTGAGAATTCAAAAAGAATTATCCTTTTTTTTTTCGTCTTATGTCCTATTATAGGGATGTTTAAATAGCAAAATGACATGTCATCAACATAGTCGCGATGAGCTCCAAAAATTTTTGAAGTGAAAACTTTGTTTCGTCATTTTTGAACAACAAACAAAAGAATCTATTTTTTGAGGTAGGAAAAACCATTGAACTCGCGACACTGTTACCGTTACCTACACCTCTGTATATAACTATCTACATATATTGACGAGAATTGAGTTTGGGTGGAAATACATTGATAATATAACTGTATATAATAAAAACATATTGTATATATACGTACAACATATCTAGATATTATATTAAAAAAACAAAAATGTTTCCTGTTATAATCATTTTTTTTACATTTTCGAGTCTCCACTTCTATCGACACACCCGGAGTACCACCGTTTTTTATGCTGCTGTAACCAAAAATATCTTAATTCTCAAAGTGAATATTCAGATGTATCGTTGAATATCGACATCACCAATTGAGATGGTGTAAGGCTGAAATTGTATTATATATTTTTAATGTTGGAACCCACGCCAGTGAAAGTAACATACAACAAGGTTCTGTTAATGTTAAATTAAGTGATTTATAATATACACCAATGATTGTTTCGCAAGGTATTATGGAGGCATACTAAATTGTTGGCCATTTGTCCGTCTTGCGGAATGAATGAAAAAACCACCCACAAGCACCAACTGGAGAACTTACCTAGCACCTAAAACGGCCTCGGGGTTCGTTATACGGGTTACATAAAGCTCCTGGTATTTTACACATTTTTGTAGGTACTTATAACTTGTTAGTCTTGTAGTCTTGTGCTAGTATTTTAAACTGTATAAAACCGAAACTTTATATATTTCCTGAAAGAGTTTAAAAAACTGTTGCAATTGATCCTTTATGGTATTTTTTTATAAATTTTATAGGTTAACGGTGTATGACGTAAGCAAAAGTACTTATCTCGTACACCTTAAGTAATTTAAACCTTCTAGACCTTCTACTGAATTACATAATATTTTAGAGAATATCAAATAACAGTAGAATATTCTATGAACTCCATCCATTGCAAACCCAGAAAAGTTTAAAAGCTTTAGTTGTAAAATGTTTAGTCATATTTAAGGTTCATTGTGATAAAAATAAGTAATCCATAATCTTCATTCCATAAATGAAACAGAGCAGCAAAAAATATTTCCATTCTTTAATATTACCTTCAAAATAATATCTGAATTTTTTATATTATTTCGAGACAAAAGTTCAAAATAACTCATAAAAGGAAAGACAATGTAACAAATTGCGTCGATAATTTGTTAATGATATGCATTTCTTGATACCATAATTATAATGAAGTAGATTTGAAATATATAAGGTAATGAATATCCGTGTTTTTAATAAGAATGTCGGAAACCTCGCTATCTAGGATCAAACTAACGGATACACTATTACTATTATGAATATATACACAGCCTTTGATAGTCCACTTTGATAGTCAACTGCTAGACATAGGCCTCATCTTGGACAGGAGGTTTTGGCCTACTATACCACGCTGGCCAGACGGGTTGTTATAGGATTTGTTTCAAGTTTTCTTCTCTTTGCAGTGTTATTGTCCTTGCAGAGTTTGCCTCTTTAGTCGGCTCTTACGACACCCTTGGGAGGAATATTGGTGGTGACACTCTGTATTCTTAATCCGTCACCACACGGACGTATATATATATATATAAATATATATATTATTTTGTGCTATACATATTTCATACATACAAACATCTCGACAAGTGTAATAAACATATTCATTTATATTTACAAATATTTGTACTGTGCGGGAATTGAACCTGCGATCCCATTGTGGCCGTCGAATGTCTAAAGCAGAGCAGAGATCGTCAGTCTATATGCAAGTATATTTTTTTATTATACGTGAATAAATGTCATTTAAAATATAAATCTGGTCCTTTTCTTTTTTAATTGCAAAACTTGTTTACGAAAGTATCTTAACATCCAAGGCGGTTAGTTTGCTTCTTACACCTTCAGGTCTTAACTACTTAACCGACCCTTGTAGAACTTCCTTATATACCTAAAATAACCTACAAAAAAGTTGGCTCACATTTTATACTCGTTGCACGATTAGACTCGCACCCATAGCCAGATAATATAGTTGTACATGCAACACGACAATAACCAGTACAATAGACATTCGATTACGTACAATAAAATGAATTGCTATTGCATACAGTATTGGAACGGGCCAAAGCTTGTCGCAACTAAATTGGTTTGTAAAACAATGTTTGTTCTATATACAAGGCCTGTACTGTACAGTTACCCTCAACAAGAAGTATACGTCAACAAAGTTCTATAACAGTGTGTATACCTACCCAGTATGCTTAAAAATTCAAATGAATTCTAGTGACTAAACTTTTTAGTATTTACAAGTACCTGTCGATTATAAGTTACGTAAACATAGGTGTTCTATAAGTTTATATGCACCATTAAAACTTACAAGTATCTAAAGTACTTTATTAAAAAGAAATTCTTAAATCACATTTTAAAAAGCAACTTATATTAAATAAACTCATAGTCACTTATCTATACAAGTCAATTGTATTAATACAAAAAGACATAATTTAAGAAAAAAATAAAGAATAAAAAAGAAGAAACAAAGAAGAGAAAATAAATAGAAGAGAGAAGAGATGATATTGTTAACATATTGTAATTAATATATATGTTAATAATATTTATTATTATTCATATATACAATAATCAATATCACTCTTTGTTGTTACACAATTCCTAAGTCACTAACGCTCTTCATTGACAAAACCTCTAATTCACTCTGCCACGGTGGAAGGTTGGTAGAATCCCTTACTGGAAACTGGATGTTTCTGCCTGAGGTACCGGCAATAGGAAGAGTCTGCTTGGAGGCTATGGGCCGCTGGTCTGCTTCGGGCAGGAGAAATGGCGGGCTTGGCCTTCGTTGGAGAGGAGGAGCTATATACCACGAGGCACGTTCCGTAGTCGTCCAACGAGCACGGGCGAGCTTGTCCGACGGAGGCCTTAACCCGCGGTGTCGCAGGTGCAGCGCGGGCGGATATCCGAGTCGGCGGAGTCGGGCGTCGGGTCGCCGGTACCTGGACTATCTTAATAGGAAGAAATACAGGACTGACAACGAAGAGGATATGCTAGAGAGAGAACATAGGCAGGTGTGGCGAGGAGGCGTCTGTCGGTCTGGCGGGCGAGCGGACGCCCGGCGGAGCTGGGAGACGACGCGCGAGGGCAGGAGGAACTAAGCATCATGAGACTATTTGGTTCACAGTAACAGTACTTTTGCAATAGGAATATCGGATCCGAAAATCGACAGTCAGCTGTGCAAAGATACATTTTGATTAAGATTATGCATGTCAAAAGTATAGCAAAATATCATTTCGTCTAATTAAAATTTGATTAACAACATTATGAAATCTCGCTTAAACACAATCATTTTGAAATTGAAATAAAACTTTATAAAACAAATATTAAATTTATTAAAAAATCCTATACATTTTTAATTTATCCTTATAAAAATTTTTTTATTTTAATTATATTCATGAAAACTTATGTACAATTTAATTCAATGATTTATGAACAATATGTAATAATATTATATAAATTTGTGCAGATGACATACAAGGGCATTTTTGTGAAAAAAACACAACCAGGAATCACTAAAGCCTGTCGTTAGGTAAAACTGTATTACACATTTAGTTTATTAGTTATTGTATTTTAATTAAGATTTATATCTGAATTTAAATTATGATTAGATTTTTAATTAAGTAACGGTACTAATTATTACTTATTAACTAGTTATATACATATATTAACATTAATAAATTAAATATAAAGAATTAATTATTGAAAAATATATTATAAAGACATATTATTCATTAAAAAAATATATTTTATATAAAAAAATTTCATTAAAAATTAAAAATCATTTATAATTGAAATAAATAATAAAAATAAAATTGTTTTAAATGATCTTAAATAAAGATTAATAATAAGAATACTTTATACAATAATCATGAAAGTATAGTTTTGTAACGCTAAGTGATTTAAGTTTCAGTTTTGCTTTCCTGCTTTAGTTGACTTGTTGATTTTGCAATCTTTATATATAATTAATATTGGTACATAATACGAAATTTTTATATTAAAATATTATTGTGTTCTTCACTAACGAAGATAAATATTTTTATTAATATGTCTTAATAATCTGTCCTCTTTAGCAACTTCATCTACAGTTTTTTTATTCGTAATATTACTAAATTCTTACTAAATACAAAAGTGGATTTACTCAGTTAGTCCCACATTATCTCACCAAACTATACAATACTACAAAAAAGATTGCTATATACTTTGACGAATCCAATAATGTGTAAACATGACAGCTACTGACATTCTCACAAAAATGTACATTCATAAGTTGAACTACCCTGCAATAATGATTGTAAATTTATAAGTCTATCAATAGTAACTATTCAAAGAATGTCATTACTTTTGACTAAAAAATAAATGAATTCTTAATTAATACATAGTACAGCTTTAAAAGTTACCTTAGGTATTATAAAGTAACGTTTAGTCGGCTCTTACGACACCCTTGGGAGGAATATTGGTGGTGACACTCTGTATTCTTAATCCGTCACCACACGGACGTATATATATATATATAAATATATATATTATTTTGTGCTATACATATTTCATACATACAAACATCTCGACAAGTGTAATAAACATATTCATTTATATTTACAAATATTTGTACTGTGCGGGAATTGAACCTGCGATCCCATTGTGGCCGTCGAATGTCTAAAGCAGAGCAGAGATCGTCAGTCTATATGCAAGTATATTTTTTTATTATACGTGAATAAATGTCATTTAAAATATAAATCTGGTCCTTTTCTTTTTTAATTGCAAAACTTGTTTACGAAAGTATCTTAACATCCAAGGCGGTTAGTTTGCTTCTTACACCTTCAGGTCTTAACTACTTAACCGACCCTTGTAGAACTTCCTTATATACCTAAAATAACCTACAAAAAAGTTGGCTCACATTTTATACTCGTTGCACGATTAGACTCGCACCCATAGCCAGATAATATAGTTGTACATGCAACACGACAATAACCAGTACAATAGACATTCGATTACGTACAATAAAATGAATTGCTATTGCATACAGTATTGGAACGGGCCAAAGCTTGTCGCAACTAAATTGGTTTGTAAAACAATGTTTGTTCTATATACAAGGCCTGTACTGTACAGTTACCCTCAACAAGAAGTATACGTCAACAAAGTTCTATAACAGTGTGTATACCTACCCAGTATGCTTAAAAATTCAAATGAATTCTAGTGACTAAACTTTTTAGTATTTACAAGTACCTGTCGATTATAAGTTACGTAAACATAGGTGTTCTATAAGTTTATATGCACCATTAAAACTTACAAGTATCTAAATTCAAAAGGATGTACACTGTTACTTTTGAATAAAAAATAAATAAGAATCTCTGTAATTAATGTCACCTGTACGTCATTTTAAAAAAAGAAGGAGGTTACGTTCCTCATAGTTATAGTAAAATACACGAATAAAAAATCGCTTTCAAAGATTAGCTCAAACCCTTTATATTTCAGACCTAATAGAGCAACACTAATCTGACTAAATTTATTCTTTTTATTTTTTATACACACACTAACGCCAGTAGTCCCAACGGTGCAGAAGGTCTTGGTGTCTATCTATATGGATACAAACACACATATTGTAACAACTATAATTTGGTCCCACTTAAAAAGAGATAAGCATATTGCCGCCATCAAGACACTTTGGGAATGAAGGAAGAAAAATTAAAAATATATTGGAAGAAGAAACAGACAGAAAGGAGGAGAAGGAATCGGAAATACTTAATGCTTATACGATAAGAGGTGTGTAGTAATACCTTGAGAGCTTTAGGATCATACGTGTTACAAGAACGAAGTATTGTTGGGTTCAATAACTTAATTATTACTTCAATGTTTAAACTTAAACATCAATATTTATGTTATTCGATATTTTTCATCATCATTCTATTGAATACTACTAATCGTAGGTATCATGACAAATCATTACATAATATCAAATAAAGTCCACCGCCGCATCTGTTTGTCTTTCTGTGTGTTTGAACACGAAATTCCTAAAGTTGCAATCATCATAAACAGCCTCTAATAGTCCACTGATGGACAAAAGCCTCTCCTTAGAAAGGAAGTTTTGGCCTACTATACCTCGCTGGCCAGACGGGTTGGAATAGGGTTTGGGGTGCTAGGCTAGAAAACCTCCCCGTGGTGCACCCTGGAAACGCTGGCGATGGTACTGTTTCCTCCTTGTCCTCTTGGAGGAGAGGATTATCGCCAGCGGCCAATATTCTAGCAGAAGAGGTAGCCGTTCATCGGCTCTCGGGCAAGGCCTGGTCCAGCAGGGTGGGCGTGTCTGCCGGTTGCCCTGCTGGCTCTTCGCTCTTCGGAGCATGGAGGAGGAAACCTCGGTAAAAAACCTGATGGCGGGGCCCTGTAGGGGCCACAGTTTCTCCGCTGATAGCGGTGGAGAAAGGAGGACGGGCTCGGCGTGTACTGACACTACCACCGAGCAGGCAGGGGGACGTAGTCTCCCTGTCAACCGTCGGCATATCGCAATCCCGAGAAGAGCGCTGTGGTTAAGTCTCGCGGCTCTGATCGGGGGCGAGGGTCTTGGCTTAACCGCCCGGACCGCGAGGAAGATAACCTCTCTAAAAAATTCCCCGAATCCCGTGTTCTGGTGCGTGGCCAGGGGATGCATGGCTGATGGGAAGTTCAGTCGCGAGCGCACTCCAAGCCGAGGTACCTGCGGACCCCTCGGTTGGGTTAAAAACTTACGCTTGCCCGGGTAATGGGGGATCTCTGCCCGAGTGGACCTTTAGTTCTCCCCCACTCGTGGGATTATTATGGAAAATATTAATTTAACTAAAAAGAAAACGATCGGAAAGAAAAACACACAACAGACAAAGGCAAGCCTAACGGACAATGAGACGAAGAGGAGGAACAGTGGAGTGGATGGGTCGTCCACTGAGGGTGAGGTGGCGTCGGGAACGCCTATCTCGATGGGGCTCCCAGAGGTCAGTCTGACTCTGGTCTCTGGGAGCCGAAGAGCATCGGATCGTATTCGTTCCGGATCCGCCGTCTCCTCGGATGGCGCGGAGGCCATGGAGGCGGAACGAAGCGACAGCAGGAAACGCGGACGCTCCAGGGAGGAGGGGACCGACACGTCCGGCGAAATGATGCCACCAAAGGTGAAAACTGAAAAACCTTTTTTGTTTTGTCCATCATCGTCATCAGTTTTATATTACAGCAGTTGATATCTCTATTTTTGGGGCCTCTCAATCACAGGGCGGACATACAGGTCCCCGGTCTAGCTGGCAACGAAAAGGAATTAGCCGAAACCTATTTCAATGTGACAGATTGCACTGATGCCTACAAGAATCGGGAGCTAGTCAACAAGATGATATTGAGAATTCAAAAAGAATTATCCTTTTTTTTTTCGTCTTATGTCCTATTATAGGGATGTTTAAATAGCAAAATGACATGTCATCAACATAGTCGCGATGAGCTCCAAAAATTTTTGAAGTGAAAACTTTGTTTCGTCATTTTTGAACAACAAACAAAAGAATCTATTTTTTGAGGTAGGAAAAACCATTGAACTCGCGACACTGTTACCGTTACCTACACCTCTGTATATAACTATCTACATATATTGACGAGAATTGAGTTTGGGTGGAAATACATTGATAATATAACTGTATATAATAAAAACATATTGTATATATACGTACAACATATCTAGATATTATATTAAAAAAACAAAAATGTTTCCTGTTATAATCATTTTTTTTACATTTTCGAGTCTCCACTTCTATCGACACACCCGGAGTACCACCGTTTTTTATGCTGCTGTAACCAAAAATATCTTAATTCTCAAAGTGAATATTCAGATGTATCGTTGAATATCGACATCACCAATTGAGATGGTGTAAGGCTGAAATTGTATTATATATTTTTAATGTTGGAACCCACGCCAGTGAAAGTAACATACAACAAGGTTCTGTTAATGTTAAATTAAGTGATTTATAATATACACCAATGATTGTTTCGCAAGGTATTATGGAGGCATACTAAATTGTTGGCCATTTGTCCGTCTTGCGGAATGAATGAAAAAACCACCCACAAGCACCAACTGGGGAACTTACCTAGCACC